GAAGTGCAATCATTTTGAAATTTTTATCCTTTACTTATTATGCTTCATTAAGTACTTATACAAAATTTTATTAAAATAAAACCATTTAAACTGGGTGTTCGGATTTATATGTCACTTTGTATATATATATAAGAAGATATCCCTTAATTTCTTTGGGTAGAAGGCAAAGTATTGCAAAGAAATTAAAATATATCTTCTAACAGTTAAGGCATATATATATATATATATATATATATACAGGGTTATCCAAATTAAGTGTCCACCATTAGTAACTTTGTTATTAGTGAAAATACAAAGTTGTTTGAATTAGCAAAATAGTAGCATTTTTAACGCTGGTAAAAATGAGAAATAAAAAAAAACAATTGAGAGTCGTTATTTTGATTTTTTTCAGTAAAATAACATTTTTTTAAATGGAAACCCCTGTATATTATATTTTTTTCTGTTAAAGCATCAAATTTTAAACAAAAAAGTTCATAATGACTTTTCCGCTAAAGTCAAAAATAAAGTCAAAATAACGATAAATATTTTTAATTATTTGCAGTATTATAATATTAAGACGGCTATGAAAACAACATGGCGTTCGCGATTTGACAGCATTAAGATAAGCGACAAATTGTTAAACTGGACATACTCGCAACTAGAAGGCTTTGGAAAACAATGATAAAATCAAATAATGTCAAACATTAGTGTAAATACTTGTTTATAAGCTTTATTGTGTCATTAATTTAAAGAAAAATGTTCTCCCATGAAGAAAAGTGTGATATGTTAGAATGCTATTTAGTGTGCAGAAAATCCTCCTTGAGAGCAAGAGAATACTACAGTGAATTATATCCCGCTCGCATTCAACCGTATGAACGATATTTTCTGAGACTTTATCGAAAATTTAGGGGCAACGAAAATGTTTTTGCTAAAACAAGGGCAAAAAAAGAATTCATAATAAGCGAGGCCACGGAAATTGCAGTTATTGGATATTTTGAAGCTTATCGTGAGAATTCAATAGCAGATATTCTCAAGGACTCTAATTTCAGTTATAGTACTGTTCAAAGGATTTTAAAAAAATACAAATTTATTCCGTATAAGTACCGACCAGTTCAAACGCTTTTGGCAGGGGATCCAGAGAGAAGACTTGTTTTTTGCCATTGGTATCTTAGCTTCTGTCGCCAAAATGTCAATAACTTTCGTTACCTTTTATGGACAGATGAATCAAATTTTTCAAATTCTGGAATGTTTAATAGAAAAAACCACCATTATTGGTCAAGAGAAAATCTTTTGTTAGTACATCCAAGAGGCCCACAAGTCCGTTTCAGTTTCAACGTTTGGTGCGGTATAATTGGTTCAAAAATTGTTGGCCCGTTCTTTTATGAGGGAACCCTAACTGGTGAAAGATATGTGGAATTTATGTCAGAAATTCTGACTAATTTCTTAGACGAATTGGATCTTATAAGTAGACATCATCTGCATTTTCAGCAAGATGGCGCACCTGCCCACAACTCCAGAGGTACTTATCATTTTCTAAGTACTACTTTTAATGATCAGTGGATAGGAACAAATGGCCCAATACAGTGGCCTCCCAGATCACCAGATCTAAACCCACTTGATTACTTCTTGTGGGGTTACTTAAAGAACCAAATTTACAAGCGAAGGTACGATAACCTTGACGCGTTAAAGACTGCAGTTAGGGAAAAGATAACCTAGATAGATGGTAGGACCATACTTAAGACAGTTCGAGCAGTTGAAAAACGTGCCCAAAAATGTATTGAAGAACAAGGTGGTGTTTCGAGCATCTTCTTTAAAAAAAAATTGTTATTGTATTTTGTAAGATTATAAGTTGATGTTGAAAATAAAGTTTATCGATACAATTTAATTGTTTCAGATTGGAGGCCATAACTTCAACAATTTGTAACCTAGGAGAAAAGTTGTTGTAAGCTTTTTTGTTTAAAATTTGATGCTTTAACAGAAAAAAAATATAATATACAGGGGTTTCTATTTAAAAAAATGTTAATTTACTGAAAAAAATCAAAATAACGACTCTCAATTGTTTTCTTTTATTTCTCATTTTTACCAGCGTTAAAAATGCTACTAGTTTGCTCAAACAACTTTGTATTTTCACTAATAACAAAGTTACTAATGGTGGACACTTAATTTGGATAACCCTGTATATATATATATATATATATATATATAATCAAAATCCCATTTACCCTAACCTACTATGATGTTTACTTATTTAGTTTTTTTTATGTAGTGATCCAATTCTTAATATGTATTTATCGTTATAAATAATCGCTTTTACTCCGAAAGAATAGTTTTGACAAATATCCTTTTAGCTTAACATGTGAAAAATATGCTGTTTTTAGTTTATTCATATGGTATAATAATTTTTGATCAGTGTAATTATTAAGTCTAATTATATAATTATCAAGTTGAATTATTGGATGTTGAAAAGATTTACTTTTATGTGGATTTCAATACGAATATATTGCAGAGTATAAAAGCAGTAAATCACATGTTATTATATTTATTTTTGATATACCACGGAATCTCAGGTATGTTAGGCCCCCGACAACAATAATGATCCGGAATCACATTTAAATGACTATAAAGTCATGACTCTTCTCAATATTCATGCACTTTTGTTGTGTCGAAATAATAGCATTTATTTAGTTCAAATAAATCCAGAATTTTGAACTCAATTTTCTCAGACTTAGCAGTGTAGGTTAAACTTATAACATTCCTTTTTTTGCGCTTGAGTAAAAAGTACAGTTATGTCTGTAGCCGAGAGGACAACAGACGTAACTTCAAAACAAGTAAACATTCCAACAAAGTTTAAATACAAATAATATTAGATTTTCAAAATTGAACATAGTGTCTACCAACATTATGTTGCTTATGATTGTTTGCTTAATATAAAGCTGAACTAGTGCATTTTAATAGTAACATAAGCTCAAAACTACGACTGTTTACCTCTAAATTACAGACGTATATCGATATCAAAAAAAAACATAAACATCGATCACTTACGCAACAACCGCTCCAGCACCATTTTGCCGTCTTCGTCTACGTCCACTGATCACCGGAAACAACACATCACTTCTCTAAAATCCCCTCTTAAGCTGGCACAAGAACTCCCAATCAAAAAAAAATCACGATCGCGGACCGCGCGATACCGGCTGACTTGGCGCACTCACTACACCATTTTTGTACATGAACTGACAAATTTTGAGATAAGCTCGAGTATGTTTAGCTATTTAAAGTAAACACGTTTTCGCATCAGGTGTAATTAATCGTTACGTTTAGCGTACAGGGCGTGCAGCTTTTGATTTGTCGCGCGCGAGCAGGTGAAAGGCGCAGAGATTTTTTGGCGCCAAGCTGTAGTTTATTCCCTTTGCGACTAGCGAAGGCAGACTAGAGGATCCCCCAAACCGACGCGAATATTCCGCAGCGACTGCGATTGATTCGCGACGACATTGTCGCCCAGGGACTCTTCTCGTAGAAGCAAATGAACAAGAACAGACCTGTGCGTCAATTAGGCTCACAGCGCTGCGACAGTGCAGCGTCTAAATTTTAATTCGCTGCTTGTATGATTTTTATCGCTGTCGCAATGGCAAACACTGATAAACTTCTGGAAATAATTAAACAATTTCCAATTCTCTATGACTTGAACAACGAGGACTACAAAAATGTTCGAAAAAAAGACAAAATCTGGGATGAGGTAGGAATGGAATTGAATGACACTGGTAAGTTACTCTTTGCTGAGAAATTATTATAATACGTTTATTATTTATGAATGACTTAGCTAAGCTGATCTTGACCAACAATATTAGGAGTTGAAGTAGTCAACAAATTTTCTCGTGTAGAAAATGCCAGATTCGTTGCACGTCTTGGATTATTTTCGATGTTGTAAAGGCTTGTGATGGATCTGGATCTTCGTCTAGAACGTTGATTCCCAAAGTGGTCTATATCGACCCCTAGGGGTCTATGACAACCTGCAAGGGGTCTACGTCAGCGAAAAAAAGTTTGGGGGTCCATGAAATGAATATGTGGGTCCACGATAGTGGATCTCAACACATACACTGATAGTACCTATTTACTTACATCATACTATCTTATAATATCAAAACATATACATTATTTATAAAAGTACCTATGAAGTAAAAAAATTATTATATATGTTTATAAAATTGTGTAAGTTGTAGGATGTTGGTATTCGCTTTGTGGTCGCAATACATTTTGAACTTGAGAGTCGCAGTCTCAGAGCTTCGCTACCTTGCACTGACTTGTTCAATTCGTCACTCTATAAATACGAATGTGGGACAAATACGTTTATTCGTTTCCTGAATCTTGAAAAGGAAAGTGCTAAGAAAATATTTTAAAAAATATAAACAGATAGTATATCACACAAATCATAGTGAGTCAGTGTTATTTTGTTTGAGAGTGCTGGAGAAAAGTAAGTACATTATTTTTTATTAAATTTTAGTTTTGTACGCGTAGTTAGCAAAGATAGATAAATTACTCCAATCATGACTTTAGTTATTAGTAGTTAAATATTCAATCATGCAAAATTACACGAGTACTCCTCAATAGCTTTTTGAAAGTTTTGGCAATCGGTAATATTATTACAGTGCAATCTCCGTAATTCGAGCTAATTGTTGCAAGAAGATGTTCGAATTATGGAATGTTTTCGGAAAAATCAAAAAATATTTTTAATATACAGCTGCTGGATTTTCTATCTTATTTAAATAATTTAATTTTGCCCACAGATGACTGATGCCATGTCCGAATCTAAAAAGAAATGTAGACAGTGCAGTGTTGATTATTTGAAATTTGGCTTCATTCCATCATTGCCGGACAAACAATCGCCTATGTGCCTTTTATGCAACAAAGTTTTGGGCAATGACGCTATGAAACCATCTAAACTGCAAGATCATCTGAGAAGATGCCACCCTGATAAAACAGAGAAAGATTTGAAATACTTTCAAACACTCAAAGATAAATTTCAGAAGAGACCTACACTGGACAGAATGTTCGCTCGTTACTTATAGCAAAATCCGGAAAACCGCATAATATCGGAGAGAAGTTAATTTTGTCAGCCGTTGAAGAGGTTTTAAAAACTGTTTTACACAAACCTGCATCTGATATAATTAAAAGAATTCCCTTAAGCAACAATACTGTTGAAAGACGTATTGATGAAATGAGTTCTGATATTGAAAGCTTCTTATGTAATTATTTGCAAACGACCCATTTCTCTATACAACTGGACGAGTCAACTTTACCTGATAATGCAGCATTATTATTGGCATATGTTCGTTTTATTATGAATCAAGAAATCTACGAAGAACTGCTCTTCGCAAGAACTTTGATAACCGACATTAAAGATGAATCAATATTTCATGTTTTGAAGGATTACTTCATTGAAAAAGCAATTCCTTTATCCAATATAATATCAGTAGCTACAGATGGAGCTCCTGTCATGGTTGGACGTTATCGTGGATTTATAAGCTATTTAAAACAAAATGTGTCAGGGGTGTTAGCAATACATTGCGTCATCCATCGACAACATTTAGTTGCTAAAAAATTTAGTGTTAGATTGCATGAATCACTTCATTTAGTCATTGATGCAGTAAACCGAATCCGAAGCAACGCGTTAAATACGCGGTTATTTGCGCAGTTGTGTGAAGAAAATGACGAACACTTTCATCAATTACTCCTTCACACTGAAGTACGCTGGCTGTCGGAAGGCTTATGTTTGACAAGATTTTTTGCTTTTAGAATTTCTGGATACTAAAGATGAAATTTTAAAAGAAAATTTAATGAAGAGGAAACAGACATCGCCTATTTAACAGATTTGTTTACAAAATTTAATATGGTTAATTTGCAATTACAAGGCGACAGTTTAAATTTGATTAAAACAAAGTCCATCTTATCAGTGTTTCTTGCCAGAGTTAAACTAATGAAGCAAAATATTGGACGGGGCGAATTTTCTCAGTTCCCCAATTTGTCACAGTCAAGCTGACAGGAAGACGACGTTTCAACTTACGTTCAACATTTAAATGCCCTCTATTCAGATTTTGAGGTTATTTTGACTATGGTAATACCACCGTGGATAATTAACTTTTCGGACGGACTCTTAAAATTTCACCATCAAACCAGCCAAAGATCCTCATAAAACCCTTTTCAAAGATTCGCAACAGTCAATCAGCTTTATAAATATGAGAGTGTCGTCTGCAAAACATCTTTCCAGTACTACTGATTTTGAAGCTATTTAAATAGATATTAAATAATAGAGGGCCTAGTACTGTTCCTTGAGGCACACCATACTTGATGTACATTTTTTTACTGAAAATTGTGATGTTTCCCTAAATGAAATTGAAGTTCTGTGTATAAGCATGAGTGTATTTAGCAAGCGGATATCTTAAGAATAAATACACGTACGATTCATTAGCTATACCTTTAAAAATGTAAATACTCGTAATGAGGTAATTTGGAGTTTATGAACATAACGTAGTAAGTGCTATCTATATAATTCTGTAACATTCAACCAATCAGACTTATGAAAAGATGGTCGTACTTTTTCTAACTTCCTACTAACCTTCAGCAAGAATTTGAATTTTTGGTGATCGTTTTATAGATACAGAATCTAAAAATAAATGGTAACAGTAAAATTTGTTTATTGAGGTGTAACTGGAGAAATATATTTCCATGACAGAGAAATGTTTTCGATATGGGTTTGCTCTGGGCGGCGTGCCGACCTTAGTAAGTGTTCTGGTATTACTGCCGTATTGCCGCGTCTGACCGGATTAGGTATCGGGAAGAGGTGACGTTGCCAGATGAACTACCGCTAGGGAAAATGTCTATGGATCAACTGTATGGACCTGTTTGACTGACTTGATCCGTTCCATTTATTTGTTATACTTGTTTGTAGCTAACTTTTTTCTCAGAGGTGTCGCACTTGTGTGCACAGTCAACCTACTTGGCGTCATTTTTTTTTAATTTACCATGGAGTAGCACTCTAGACTAAACGTTTTTTGTTGAGGCCTGTGACCACAATTTGAATTCGAGAATTTACTAAAATTTACATGTGAGAACGAATCTCACTCAGCTGAGGTTGGTCTGTTGGAAATGACGTTGGAATAAGAAAGAAAAAAGAATTAACCTGATTTAAATAAAGTTTGGCAAAAAGGACGTGCAATAAACTAACGAGCAAACTGAAGTGTTGTGAGTGTATCTGAAAACTCATTTGTTAAACGTCAAAAAAGACGTCAAACGTTCTCAAAAGAATGGAAAACCAGACGTTGAACTGCGCCATTAATATTTGTAATGGATCGAATTAATGAATGTCTAAATAAATATAAACAGGAGGACATAATGTAATTCGGAAGACCGTGATTTTTTCTAATTGCAAGAGCACTCTGTGCGTTGCTATTTTTTTATAATACACGCAGCTAGCCATCGATAGTCGAAATCACGAAAGATGGCGATTACGTCATCATTTTAGTCTGTAGTAAAGACATTCGACAGCGATTTGTGAATATATTTAATAAAGTTTCTGATATGTTAGACAGAGACAAACAGAATTTTATTGTCTAAACAAACTGTATTGCTAATTTGCATGTATTCGACAAAGATAGACGATGTTTTCATGTTGCATGATCGGTCATATTTGAAAGATGAATAGTTAGGTTATGTTAAAGCAGGTTATGTTGTTTTCGAGTAATATTTTGGTCTTTGGTCTTCCTGTCTTAAGGTATTCTACTCATAACTGTTTTTTTTTCAAACAAAAACTCCCCACTAAAATTATTATTAAGGTATCACTCAAAACCATGAAATAAAATGAAAATAAAAATAATCAGTGAAATAACCTAACTTCGCAAAATCATAATATACATTTGTTGTCACTATGTTTCTGACTCGTGATTTTATCATCGACTTACGTCCATTGATTACTTCAGTTCAATTTATGGTATGACGTAAGTCATCTTTCCTGATTTTGACTATATCACGTTTTCTTTACACTGAAGCACCCGAGCAGGTAGAAGCTTAAATGCCAGTGCACTGCGGCTGCTATGATGAGCCAAAGAAACTTTGTTAATCCGATTTTTGAACTGCCTAAGGTTAGTAGGACTGGGAGAAGCCCAGTAGCGTAGCTACCTTGGGTGGTACCCGGTGCGGAAGTTGGTGGTGTCACCCCATAGAAAGTAAAAAAAATAAATTTTATATGATTTATGAACGTCGTGGATCATTTAATATTAATATTTACATTTAAAATTATTGAACAAATAAAACTAAGACAGAAAAAAAATATTTTAGTGCAATCATAAGATTTGGAAGAGATTCTGTAAAATCCACTCTAAAATAAACTTTAAGAAACCTAGAGATACCGAATCAGGAACTGTAACATTAGCGGCTTTTAAGTGTCTTCGCAGTCATGGTATCTCCAAAATTCTGTTCTTAAAAATCAATAAATTTGGGTATAGCTAATTTCAGTTCTTCAGTATTCGCCAAAAGCAAAGTATTTCCTTGAACGATCTCGAACAATGAAGCTAGGTCCTGAAGAGACTTCGATTTTGTCTCGAGTTAAACTCTGAATAGGTTAAGACAATCCAACAAATATTTTTGAAAATCTTCTTTCAGTGTGATTCCTGCATCACTGACCATCTGACCAACCACTCGTTTTTTACGACAAAGTCGTCTTTCTGTTGAAATATCGTATTCTTCTCATTTTAGCAATATCTATTGCCTTTTCCACAATGTGACCCCGTTCTTCTTCGATATAAAGACAAAGTGCCTCTATTTTTGTAGCAGTTTCGTCAACAGTTAAGCCTTTACTTTGCAATGCAATCTGTGCAATATTTTTATGTTTGTACGTTGTTCTTAAAGTTTACCCGAAAAAGGGTGGCATCCGTTGCGGCCCGCAGCTGCCGATAATGACAAGGTGTGTTGGTGTCAGATCATATTTTCGGTGATTTGGACTCCGAGCAGATGAAATTCATTGGTATTTATTGCTATAGTCCTAGTTTTGCTTGAAGCCAACCCAAGCCGAAGACCTCGTTTAGGGCCCAAAGGCGTAACACTGAGCTGACTGATTTAATACGGATTCAGATTTTCGTATTAAAAAAATATTTCCTTTTTCGTGAAAATATTAATCCAGATTTACAAACTTTCGGGTTTGCAATGTTTTTACCACGCTCCAAAAATATTTTGTTTTTGGCAGAAAATCTACTACAGATAAGAAATGAAAATTTTCTCGGTAGAAGCATTGACATTTGCTTCATTATCCATTGTTTTTCCGCTCATTTTGTTTGTCAAGGTGATAACTACGTGATGTGACTAAAAAAACTTAATTCAAGATTATATCCGATTCGAGAACAAAACAGATTTAGGGTCAATCAAGTCAATCTACTATACTAATTATACTAGGTGACATATAAATCCGAACACCCAGTTTAAATGGTTTTATTTTAATAAAAGTTGGTGAATGTATTTATCTTACTGTAAATAACAAGTGAAAAAATTTTCAGTCTTATCAGTTGGACATTCCGCTTTTTATACTGCTTTTTTTTTAATTCACTAACGCTCTAAAAATGAATATTTCAGCCGCAGTAAAGAATCAACGTTGGCGGATTCATGACATCCTTTACGATCGGTTACGATGCCTAGAGTACGGAGACCAGTACGATTTCGTCAACTTAGTGAGTTTGATAGGGACCGTATAGTGGGACTTCGGGAAGCTGGACTTTCTTTTCGGGCAATTGCAGTTACAGTGCAAAGAAGTGTAGACACTGTGGTTAGGTGTCGTCAGGCATGGCTTCGAGAAGGCCGTACGCAAAGAGCAAGGGGGCACTGGACGCCGCCGTAGAACAACAGACCGTGAAGATCGCCGCCTAAGATTATTGGACTTAAGGGACCGTTTCTCCACTACCAGGTCCACTGCAAATGAATGGTTTGCAGAACACGGAAGACCTATTGGCATGCGAAGTGTTTACCGACGAATGAGAAGTTTTGGCTTGTTTTCATACCGGCCACACTGGGTCCTCCCTTTAACTCGAGAACACCGACGTAATCGCCTTGAGTGGTGCAGACAACGGTCACTCTGGGATCAGGAATGGAACAGTATTGCCTTAAGTGACGAGTCTCGATTTTGTTTAGGCATGCACGGTGGTCGTGCCAGGGTTAGAAGGCGACGTGGCGAAAGGAGGAATCCACAGTTTTTTGTTGAAAGACATGTTCATCACACTGTTGGTGTTATGGTTTGGGGTGCTATAGCTTATGGTTCCAGGTCACCTTTAATCTTCATCAGAGGTAACATGAACGCGCAGCGTTATATCCACGAAGTTCTAGAACCCCATCTTTTACCCTATCTTGACACCCTGGCAGATCCAACTTTCCAACAAGATAATGCCCGACCACATGTTGCAAGAGTCACAATAGACTTCTTTCAACATAATGATGTCACATTGTTACCATGGCCACCAAGATCTCCCGACTTATCCCCAATTGAGCACGTGTGGGATATGATGGGTAGGAGATTGCTCAATTTGCAACGTCCTCCTCAGACTCTAGAAGCACTTCGAGAGGAGTTGGTGGTTGCCTGGAATGAGATACCACAGGAGAATGCGTAGCACATCAGGGTGCATCCACACAAAGGTCAAAGGGCTTTAAAGCAGTGCAATCATTTTGAAATTTTTATCATTTACTTATTATGCTTCATTAAGTACTTATACAAAATTTTATTAAAATAAAACCATTTAAAATGGGTGTTCGGATTTATATGTCACTTAGTATATAACAATATGACTGAGAGAAAATCGAAAATTTTCTAGCCCTGCACAATCATTTCAAGCAATTGTTAGAAAAACATGCATTGTATTCCGTTAATAAAATTTCAATTCTACTGTAATATAGTTTGTGTGTGTTAGAAAAATAGTAACAAAATTAAAGGCTTATTAGGAATTATAAGCAATTTTGTTTGCAATGAAAAATTAATTTTTCACAACTAGTTAGTTTGTATGTTTAGACACCACAATGACAAATGATATGTCAGGAAATTATATACTTATGACGGTCATTTGCTCAATTTGAGTTATTTCATATATTATTGCACCAAGTTATCAACTAATTTTTTTTCTACAGGGTGCCGACAAACTAGCTGGCCAAATTTCAAGAGGTGGTTTCAAGGAAAAAATTATATTAAAATTTTCGCTGAAAAAATCAGAATAATTCTCTAGCTTAACTAAAACTAGTCAAAAAAGTACTTTACCAAAACGACAAACTTATGTCACCATCTAGGCCGATAGGATTTAATTTCGTTAAATTTCCTTCTTTGTTGGAATTATTGTGAAATATGAGATATTTGCAAAGAGAACCAGTCAACGTAGTGCTTTACCAAAACCACAAACTTTTATCGCCATCTAGACCCACAGGATTAATTTTGTTAAATTTCCTTCTTTGCAGGAATCATTGTGAAATTCAAGATTTTTGCAAAGAGATCGGTGTTACAAAAAATTCACACCCTGTATCTTAAAACAAAGCTCTGTTATGTGAAATTTTCGTCTTATTGACGGAACCACCTCTTTCGGTTTGGCCAGGAGCGCTTTAACACCTTATATATTTTTCAGCGAAATCCACAGCTGACAGCACTGTACGCTAAACCGACACGTTTTTTCCGAAAATCAACCAACCTAATCGTTTTCCGAAAAACACTTTCCGCGAAAACCGCGAGAAACGTCACCATCTTTTCCCAAGTACCACTGCGCACCTTGCACTCCCGTCTACAACTGACGCTACTCGTGTGTAAGTATTTAGCGGTGCAGAATAAGAAGATATTATGTTTGCCAAAACACGTTTTAGGTATATTTTCGATTGAAGATATACTAGGCGGAGAAAAAAATAGGAGTAGCTTTCGGTTCCCGGGCACATTGGAGTACCGGGGATTGACAAAGCTAGTAGTAGTAGTGGTGATGGGGAGACGAAGCTAAGCAAGAACCCTATTTGCTGACCCCAAATGTACCTACACTCTACCTTACATGTTAATTCACTAAACCTTCCTGACCTCCTAATCAAGGTCAGTATGTCCGACCATTCCTCTAAATAAGCAGCTTTACCAACAAATTCCATAGCCCCTAAGACCTCAGCCCTTTGACCCCAGTATTCCGAGCTAGAGCCCAGAAAGTCTAACGCTGTTTCGTCCTCCTCCCAGCACGTGGGTATGTGGGCGAGGTATGTTGGGTCGCTCTTCACCCTTAAAAGGAATAAGCGTCTGTTGAGTCTGCAGTGGCCGGTGAGAACCTTTACCAAAAGGTTCAATGTTCTTCTATTCGACATTGTCAGTCAGAGCGGTCCGTAGGACCTTTGCTGTTGGTTGAAGTCTTGTAAGTCAGTAGGTCTGTCAGGTCTGGTTGCCTAGATACCAAACAAAGTCAGGGAGGAAGAAGGGAAGAAGAAAGGAAGGAAGGAAGGAAGGAGAGCAAACAAAAAAGCAGTGCGTCAATTTGAGGGGTGCCTTGGCATTGCTAATTAGCATTTGGTAATTTTAAATTGATCCTAAAATTAATTTTGGGATTGGTTGTTGAAGAAAAATTATAATTTTGGTTGGACCTAAAGTCGCACGATTTAATTTTGTTCACAGTGCGAGTCGCGGCCTTGTGTGCTTGCGAACTTGCTCGACTGTGTAGTCTACTGACTCGCTCAACAAAGGGTTGTTATGCGATTCTGCTTGACTGTAACGTAGCTGCGCTTGTTGTTTGATGTAGTCCCTTAGGTAAGGGATGTCAAGGTCTGTGTGAAGGGTCTCGTTGGAAACATACCATGGAGCGTTAGTGATTGTACGCAAGGTTCTATTCTGCAAAACCTGCAGGCTACGCAAATGCGTTTTGGCGATAAAACACCAAGCCGCACTTGCGTAAGTGATCGCTGGTCTAATAACCATCTTGTATAGCCGAACGTTATTGATCAAACTTAATTTTGATGTTCTACATAGCATAGGGTAGAGTTGCCGAAACGAGATTTGGAATTTAGTTTTTAACGCTTCAGTGTGCTTCTGCCAGGTTATCCCCTTGTCAAGAGTGACACCGAGATACTTAGCGGAGCTTTCCCATGGTATCCGAGCTCCATTCACTGAAGCCTCAGACGGGGCCCGCTACGTTTTTTAGTACAATAGATTGCCTGCGTTTTCGAATGATTCATTTTGATCAGCTACCGATTCGCCCATTGCAATACCTCGTCCACTGCAGTTTGCAGCCTGTCGTGAACTAGATCCCCAGAGCACGACTGGGCTACCAGGGCAGTGTCATCAGCATAGAGATAGGTTTCACTGCTGCTGGGGCAAGGGACGTCATGAATAAAAAGTGAGTAAAGGACTGGTCCAAGAACCGAACCCTGAGGGCCACCGGCTTTGATGGGCCGTGTTGTCGACCGAACGTTATTAATTTTGATCCGAAATTTCCTACCCTCGAGAAAGGATTTCAAAAGTTTTAGGAGCCAGAAGGGGAAGCCATATGGATCAATTTATGGAGGAGGCCCTTGTGCCACACCTTGTCAAATGCCTTTGAGACATCCAGTAGCAAGATGCCAGTCGTACCAGTCGTTACGGGTGAACCCCCTGGTTACTCGTTCAACAAGCCTTATGGCCTGTAGCTCCGTACTATGCTCAGATCGAAAGCCAAATTGCACGTCAGGAATCACATTGTGGTCTGTCGAGAAATTTTGAAGGTGACGTAGAATCACCTTTTCAGCGAGCTTAGAAGGAGCTGACAGTAGACTAATAGGGCGGTAATCCTGGGGAATATCGAACCCACCTTGTTTGGAATCATTATGACATCAGCGGTCTTCCACGCCGTTGGGAAGTGCTGGGTCCTTAGCATGGCATTGATTATTGCCACGAGATAAGTTAAGGACTTCCGCGAAATTAGCTTCAGCGCCTTATTAGTGATTCGATCCTCTCCAGGTGCTTTACGCACCTTGAAGTCTTTAATATGACCTTGGAGCTCTGCTGGTGTGCAATGCGGAGTCTCAGGGGATTCCGCTGATGTGCCGTGTAGCTCTTCAATTGAGGAATCTTCTGAAGATTCCTCTGAGGAAAAATCACTAAGGGAGGCAGTACTACCACTGACGTCGTTGGCTCTAAAATATCTCCTGACGGATCTTACAATATGTTGCTCCTCGTCGAGGTCATTATCAAGGTCATTGTTGGGAGAGAACTGACTTTCCATTGCATCAGCGAAAACCTCGACCTTTTCCTCTGTCCTACAGACTATGCCCCTAGGACCGTGGATGTGCGGGAGTTGTTCTCGCTTTGCGTTTCTGAGCGACTTTGCAACTTTCCAGTGAGGAATACTTGAGTCAAGCATCCCCGACAGAAAGTCGCTCCATTGCTCATTACGGAATTCATGAAGAGCATTTCTCACTTCATGAACAAGATTCGTTGCTCTGTGAATGTCATCTGGGTGACAAGACCTCTTCGCTTGCTTAATTGCAGCTCTTTTGTCAGACATTTTCTGACGAATGTCTGCAGGGAGAGGGACAAATGCTGTGTCTGAGGACCCAAAGCAATGGAGTATCGGCTATTGAGAAAGCTAATTTTCTGGCTAAGCTAGGGGCCAGAGTTCCCTGGATCAATCCCGAGCGTAGGCTGGACATAACCAGGCTCTAGGTCATCTCCGCTTTGAAAGAATGGGAGGAAGTATCAAAATCTCCAAAATTGTCTGAACTGTCAGAATTTTCAAAATTGTCAAAATTGTCAAAATTGTCAAAATTGTCAAAATTGTCAAAATTGTCAAAATTGTCAAAATTGTCAAAATTGTCAAAATTGTCAAAATTGTCAAAATTGTCAAAATTGTCAAAATTGTCAAAATTGTCAAAATTGTCAAAATTGTCAAAATTGTCAAAATTGTCAAAATTGTCAAAATTGTCAAAATTGTCAAAATTGTCAAAATTGTCAAAATTGTCAGAATTGTCAGAATTGTCAAAATTGTCGAAATTGTCGAAATTGTCGAAATTGTCGAAATTGTCAAAATTGTCGAAATTGGCAGAATTGTGAAAATTTTCAAAATTGTCAAAATTGTCTAAATTGCCAAGATTGTCAGAATTTTCAAAATTGTCAGAATTGTCAAAATCGTCTAAATCATCTAAATCGTCTAAATCGTCAAAATTGTCAAGAACAACGATAACGACAAACTTCGATTGCGCTGGCTGCTGGACAAACGTAGAGAATCGCTCAATCTTCTAGTGCGGGTTCTCACCGGCAGCTTGTCGATTCTAATTGTGAAAAGAGATTCTGTTGTCCCATGTGTTTGGAGGAAGACGAGACGTTGCACTTTCTAGGATTTTCCTCCGTATATTGCGATCCCGGGGCTGAGATATTCGGGGCCTTGGAGCTTGATAGTGATGTTGCATACTCGGCGAAGTGATCGGACAACATGACCATGGTTCTGCGTGTAGAGTCGGGTGTCGGTACACACGATGTGGACTAAAAGGGCCAAAGGTGGCTTAGACGCCAGGCTTCGCCACTCCACCACTACCTTAATGCAGTCTTATGAAGCAAGAATATTCTCATCAATGGAGCATTCTGCACCAAGGCTCTGGGCCTAGAACTAGGCTACTTTTGCCTCTCGCCGACTATTTTCCAGGCGGAAATCTAAGCGACTCTGACTTGCGTCTCCGCATTTTGGAGGAGGAAAGATCTGGAGAAGAATAACATCGTTCTCCGACAGTCAGACTGCGATGAAGGCACATAGTGTCTGTAAGATTACTTCGAGCCTTATATTGCAGTGCTGGGCGGCTCTGGATAGTCTAGCAGCGGGGCATCCGATATGGCGGACGCTCTTGAGGAAGCAGGGTCAGCGAGCAAACTTGTTGGTCCTGAGCCAGCCCTAGGGGTGTCCGCGCGAAGAGTCAGGAGGAAGACGGAGAAGTAGATTGCTAGACAAATAGAGAAGCATCTCTAGACATCTCCGTCAGGCATGAGAGCTCATCGTAGGGCCCGGTGTTAAGGATGGACGCTTTTGCTTATCTTTGAATAGAAGCAACCTAAGGTTGTTGGTGGGACTGATGTCTGACCATAACACATCCAGGCGCCACCTGTAGCTGATGGGGGTGACTGAGGATCCCATGTGTGAGTGTTGCAGGGTAGAGGAAGAGACCTCGGTGTAGGTTCTGTGTCGCTGTGAG